ATGTAGGCCTATTTGAATTTTAAATATTCAGTATATTCCTATTTTAAAAAGTCTGGAACATTTGCTATGTTTGGAAGCTCTTTTTCTTGAATTTTGCAGAAAAACTGAGTGGGTTTCAACAATGCTTGGCCGTGCAGCGTGCACAGATGGAGCCTCGACTTCATGTTTCCACAGAATAAATGACTATAAATCCTTGAAATGAGAGGAACTGTGATAATAAGCGACTTGTTGACGGTGTTGTTTTAGATTGAAGTCTTGCAGGTAGTAAATTCAGAACAAGCAGTAGTGAGTATCAGGAGACACACACGAGGGGGGGGGGGGGATTGTGGGGGGGATTATCTGCTCGTCTTCCGAGAGAAGGGTGGTCCCATCAACTTGTCACTGACAGGAAACACTCACCACAAACCAACGTCTTCTCCCACCCAGAGTCGCGCGCGCACACACACACACACACACACACACACACACACACACACACACACACACACACACACACACGCACAATCACCTTACATGCACCCGACCATCACAACAGCCATCAAACACAACGCTTTTATTTATGTGCTATTACAGCCCGCGTGGCGATGACAGTGACGGGGAAATACTCAGACAAATGTGAACAAAAATAAAACTTACACATGCATGTATGTATGTGTGTGTGTGTGTGTGTGTGTCAGTGTGCGTTTGTGTGTTTGTGTGTGTGACTTTCCCCTCACTTTGGACAGGGATTTCCCCTCTGTTTTTTTCTCCGCAGAGGGGACTCGGAGCTTGTGTCCCGGCAGAGTTCACACCTCGGCGCTGGAAACTTCTGTGATCCTCTGCGCTCCGTTTTCTCAAACCACTTTCCCGGTCGCGTCTTTGATGTCTCTCAAAGATTCGGCTCGTCATGAACCCCCCCCCCGAAACCAAGCCGCTTAATGTTATTCGTTGCATCACCGGCATTCAAGTGTATTTTATCATGCGCAGAATTAGAACACCTCCTGAGTGATGCATATTCAGATAGAACTCTTTCTTTCTGCTATAAAGTCATGTAAAGGTCCAACACTTCATGTGTATGAAAGGGGGTTTCCATCATTTCACCGATAAGAGTTTGTTTGTTTTTCCACGGGGAGAAGGAGCGCACAAATTGAGTGGATGCATATCTGCTTATTGTGTTGCATTGATGACTTTTTTGTGGGGTTTTTTTAAGGCCAAAAAGTAAAAGTGGTGTACTTGGTGACAGATTCAAGTGTGCTGATCTCCACACACGTCACGCTGCAGCCTGTTGAACCGCCAGTGTCTGATGGAGAGGACACTCGAGAAAAGTCAACGAGATGTTCTCCCGTTTTAGAAACAACACTGAGAGAGAGAGAGGGAAAGAGAGAGAGAGGGAGAGAGAGGGAAAGAGAGAGAGAGGGAGAGAGAGGGAGAGAGAGAGGGAAAGAGAGAGAGGGAGGGAGAGGGACAGGGACAGGGACAGAGAGAGAGAGAGAGGGAGAGGGAAAGGGAGAGAGAGAGAGAGAGAGAGGGAGAGAGAGAGAGAGAGAGAGGGAGAGGGAAAGAGAGAGAGAGGGAGAGAGAGAGCCAGAGAGAGAGAGGGAGAGAGAGAGGCAGAGAGAGAGAGAGGGAGAGGGAAAGAGAGAGAGAGAGAGGGAGAGGGAAAGAGAGAGAGAGAGGGAGAGAGAGAGGCAGAGAGAGAGAGAGGGGCTTCACAGTCGGAGTGACATTTTGATTCTCCTTACTTTGGTTCTGAAAAACTCTTTTTTCATCACGTTATTATGAGTTTGTGAAATCCATGTTAAAAAATCTTTCTGTTGATTGTAGTTGCATTGTTGAAAAAAGAGGAGGGCAGGAAAGATGAAGATGTTTGAAGCTTTTAGTATTTATTTGTATTTTTGTTCCTAGGGGGGGCGTCAGAACCCCCCCCCCTCCTTTACATAACAGCACCATGTGTCTGACTGTTTTCATTTGTGTCAGGTGTGTGCAAGTGGACAGGTGTGTGTGTGTGTTAGCATTGTTGGAAATCCCCCACGAGTCCCGTCAGCTGTCCCTCAGTTGACTGTTTCTGCCTGAAGCCAAGAACAACAAAATGAAGTTCCCTTTAATTTGTGATGGTGAACAAAGTTTCATGTCGGCTGAATTTGACCTTCATCCACCTGAATGATTTAAACAGCTTTTAGGGCCAGTGAAATAAAAACAAAAGAAATAGAAATGTAATATGGGGGAAATATTCTGATGAAAAAATTATGCAAAGCAGGATTTCATTTCGACCTACAGGAAAGCCAGCTTCAGCTGAACAAAAGTCAGGGTTCCTACATGTTTATATAATTTTCCACACAGACATTCTCATATTTTCAGACCATACTTGAGTCGACAGCAGAATAAACGAGATGATAAAAAAGTTGAGAATATTATGTCATGCTGAAAGTCAGACTTAAAATATGTTTTTAATTGGTTAACAAGACCTTCACATCCTTGTGTCTGAGCCCCTGATTGTAACTGACTTTGTGCTCTTTGAGTTTTCAGGGGTGCAAGTTTGGTTCCTCCTCTTGGCGTGGAGGTCATGATGTGATTGGACCGGCTGATTGCTAACACCTGCTGTGAGCTATAAATGCACAATTAGTGGCATGCCATTTACTAATTATGAGCAGATGAGTCCTGAAACATTTCTTTGTGCGCTTCCCGTCTACACTGAAAAAAGAATAGGAAGACAAAATGATGCACTGTGTTTAATGTGTACACACAACTTTAACATAAAACCTGGAGGTGGGACATTTGTGGGACATTTTTTCTGACTTTATCAAATGAAATGAGACCATCTCGCCGCCTTCATGCAGCTCTCGGCCAGGTGTGGGCAGGTGAACGAGTGGGCATGATTTGCATTTCTCTCTGAAGCTGTCAGGCATTATTTTTCATTTCTCACTTTTTCTATGCGCCTATGAAAACAAAACAAAGAATGCTATTGATAGGAACTGTTTTGTTGTCCCTGATTCAAACCCTTTATGCGCGTCGTCCCTCTCTTTCTGACCTCAGGCTCTTTGTCCTGCCGCGTTTTGGCTGTTTAGATTCGTATCTTCCTAATGTGGACGACGTGTTCTTCTTCATCACACAGCCGCCTTTACAGCGAGAACATCTATTGACAAATTGCCCACAGACCATTTTACACATCAGACCTGTTGACATGTTGAAGCAGAAAAAGCACATCAAATGGACCTGTTTTTTTTGTACTCGCTTCTCTGCAACACAACCGTCAATAATCCAAAGTATGACACCTGTGCATTACTCTGTAGCCCCTTTCACAGACGCACTGCACTCCTGAAAATGTTCAACACAAACTATTACCACTGATCTTGGTCCATCGAGCTAAAAGAAATGCTGAAATGTTTGTTTTCTACAAGAATAGGTACAGTGGCCAGTTAGGGGGTCACACGATCGGCAACTTTGTGAAATGACAAACTTTTAGAAAAACGCTCAGCATGTTCTGAAAGAAATACAACGTCTGAAACGCACCGCAAAAAGGCAAAGCAACTTCTTTATCATGGAACGCGCTGCAAGTACAGAAACAAAACAAGTCAAAAACACATATTCAGAAAACAACAGATACAGAAACGCTGCAAGTTCAGCCTTTAACCAAAGTGCTCCAGGCCTGTAGGGGGCGCTCTGTGGAAGTGTTTATTTACGGGAGAAAGTAAGAGAGACAGCTAGGTACATAAAGTTTTGATTAGATATGGAAGTTGTATCATTGAAAGACACAGAATAACATAATTATTACAGAAACACAGAGATTAAAGCAAGCCCTTTTCTATGTTCATCGTTTCAGCAGTTGACCCCTACCGGCCACCGTAGAAAAGCTTAAAAACATAATTTCAACTATATGGCTGATGGTTTATACTCATTGGTGCATGATGTTGGTACCTTTTGAAATAAAGGACAAAACAGATCACAGGTTGGTTTGTCAACTGGACCAAGATGGACCAGAGAGCGCAACACCTTAAAAAAAAAGTCCCAAATTAGAATTTCAGAATTTGAGGTCATAAAATATCAAAAAAAGGGGGTCTTAAAGTCTTTATTCATCTCTGTGGATTTGCTTGGTTAAGTGATGATTTGTGTCGTTTACGGTAGCGTTTTAGAGAATTACATACGCATCACAAACAATAAGGAAGAGAGAAGCCGAAGATGATGGGTATGTGAGTTTAAAGATATTTGGCTTCAGGATGAAAGTACAGCGAGTGGTTTGCCCGGCCAAAAATTATTATGAGGCGACTTGCAATAAAGTAATTAGGCCTTTAAGAGAATACAAATCCTTAAACGTTAGAAAACACAAATTTAAAAAAAGGTTCCTGAAGTGTGAATGCAAAGCAAGCTGCCCACTGCAGCATGGTCGACATTATATTTAAGTCAGCAATTTGAGAAAAGGAGGAAAGTGTGCAAGGTGGAAATTCTGCAAACACAGACTGCTGTTTATTTTAACATTTAAAAGAAAAGTCTGCAGATGAGCTGCAGCAACTGAGGACAGGGTCAAAAGGTCAAGGTTCAGACAAAGAGTGCATGGACCCAAAGGTTGTTTTCTCCCTGTGACTAAAGGAAAAACTAACCACGGCACAGGTGAGAGAGATTTAGTGACACACCTGTGCTCAAACACCTCCTCTCTTGTGTAAGTGTTGAGTCTGTTGCATTTTGCAGAACTAACACTTCACCCCTCTCTCTCTCTCTCCCCCCCCACCCTCCCCTCACCACCACCACCTCCTCCCACCACCTCCCTGGGGTTACATATTACTCAGTATAACGTCGGAGTCTGCTCCTCCTCCCCGTGTACTTAACCTTGAGTCTCACCTGTGTGTTTTCTGGATGACAGCCGGAGAAATCCCTGCAACACGGCCGGACGCTGCAGGGTTTCGTCCGCTCTGCCGATGTGTGCGCGGAGGAGGCAGAGGACTCATGGGAAGGCGTTCTCCCTGGAAGTGAAGCCTGGTCCACCTTTGTGTGTCAGCTCTGCCTCTTCTCTCCAGCTGCTTTCACACCCACGCCGTCCTCTACCCGCGTCCTTCCCCGTCTCACTGCTCTCTTCCTCCTCCTCCTCCTCCTCCCCCCTTCCTCTCCGCTCTACATCAAAGAGGAGAAACACATGAACACAGTTGTCTTTTAGATGTGGTGCAAAATTTAGCAGAGCACGGAGAGAGTTGGTGTTATCAGAGGGTTGTAGTTTTTAAATCCCCTTTCGATTTTGAGATTACATAACGTTACATAATGTTATCTGTGGAAAAGAACATTTCGGGAGGTGTTTTGACCTTCATGAAGCTTTGACAAAACTTTGATTCCAGCTCCCCTGATATTTTACCGATAAATACAGCTTAATGCATCACCACGCTGAGAATACTGATGACTAAAAAAGGAGAAAAACACTGCAAAACGGAGTACTTTGGCTTCACCTTGAAGAGAAAATAAAGGATGAAAAGTATAAGGATGTTTAGAGAAGCTTAGAAACGACTGAATTTGTACAAAACGAGGTGCAGGCACTGTGCTGTGATGTTTTGGACGTGTTCACCTCAAGTAGAAACCTCCTTGGCAGAGAAATTAAGCAAAAGTGCAGTTCCTTAAATGGCCACTAGAGGCTGTCTCCTGCAATGAGTCAGTCCCCATAGAGCCTCATGTTAAAATGTCCAACTTTACAGCAGAAATAAACATGTTTACAGCCTGGTACAAAAACAGTTTTTGTCTCATTTCTCTCTTCCCCTTTTTCATTATATTAAGGCTTAAAGTGATGTATAATTAGGGGTTATTTTGAAAAAATAAAGATGCCATACATTTGCCACTTTCTCTCCCTGCGTAGATTTGAGCAAGCAAGCAACGAGTCCACTATGTTTTTCAAACTCTCCTCGGTCAGCTACCACCACAAATCAAATCTCACACCCCTGTGGGAAACAAGAAGGCTGACTAGCTAATTTGCCTTCCAAAGAATTAGCCTTGATAACTTTGCATTTGCTAACCCTTCACTGCTCTCCAGCTGCCCACTTTCATCCAAATATTAAAACGTTTGTCTCCAGAAAACAAACACGATGCAGTCACAATGCCAAACACAAAGCTTTGGATTGGAGGTCCGCAAACTGATGGGTGAAGTCATGGTGGCTACCTCCATTTTTAGGTTCCTGTGTGTTATCATTCGAGATGTAAAGGAAACATGAGAGCTGACAGAAGGGGGGAATCCCCTCGTCTGCTCTGTATCTCTTTTCTCTTTATTGTTATCTTCATTTTCACCGCACACACAAATCCCATCCTTTGCCAACCACACCCAGTATTTCAGAGCAATAATTATTACAGCGAGTGTTCAAAATCAGGGCACGATTGTTTGAAGGCTGCTGTGGTACCTGAATATCAGTGTACCAATTCACCTCAAGAGCCCCAACGCTGCTTCTCTTAACAGGAGCTTGTAATGAAAATTGTAGGTTTTTGGAGCCAGGAAAGAAAATGAAGGAAAAATGTGAAGAGAGCTGTTTGGTTTCTAAGCAACAGTTAACGCCGGGTGCAGCGAGCGAGAGCTGCAGGGTGGGTTCCTGAGTTCCCATGTTTCTGCCTTCTCGTCTCCACATTCTCTTCCTGAGGAATTTGACCCCCCTGACCTCTCTGAATATGTCTGGATTTACCTTCCCCTCCGACACACAATCACAGCACACTGTAATGGAAAGCTTTTATGAGAGCAAATCTAACTCCCTCTTTATTTTTTTTATTTGCAGAGGTAGCCTTGAACACAAAGCCATGAGTTCTGTATCTGACATGAAGGTTGATTTAAAGCCTCTTTTGATCCAATTTAAATTGCTGTGAATTGGTGTGTTTGCTCCGTGTGGAGGTGTGTTACTCACCGTGTTCAGGTGCAGATCAAATAAGGACAGATTGCAAAACTGTGTCCACAGAATTAAAATCCGTGCGCACAGTGTGTCAGGGATTTCAAACCCATGAGCATGCAGTGTAAACTTTGCGCACAGATTTGTAAAACATTTGAACACATTTACAAACAGCATTTCATCTTTGCTTTGATCAGCCTTTGGGGGTTCCATAGTTTACCATCACGCTTTTCATTCTTTGGGATTGTTGGTGAGGACGCCCAGCCACCACCATCGGGCTGAGTCGTCCTCATCCTGCTCCGACCTCCACCTTAGCGGTCGGGAACTGTGGACAACAGGAATGAGAGGAATACAAAGGAGAAATCCTTACTGCATATTTATCCCATATGCTCTTTTGTAAAATGTCTCAAGATAATACTTGATATGAAATTGCCGCCATATGAATAATGATTGATTGATTCTTGTGCAAGTGTCTGGTTGGTTTGTAAACAATGCAACACACAGAACTCTTATCCTGAAGTCACATATTGTTAACAGCTGGCTACACTGGAAGCCTCGACAAAGTTTGCGTTGATCTCAGAGGCATAATCATCAGATGAGTTTTGAGATTGCTGAAAATTGCTGAAAAAAATGCTGGACATAAATCCATATTTCAAACAAACTAATAATTGAACCATTGGGTACCACAGTGAAACAGCACAAACTCTTTGCACTTTGCCTTTGCAGCAGTATCGTGCATGCAGCACTGCAACATCACATTTGAGCTTCTGACCTGAGAACGCCATCTCAGGAAAACAGTTGCAGTGAGAATACGGTGAATTATTAACGTCTGTATATGTGCACATTTAATCTTTAATGTATCGTGCAGAAATCTTTGCATAGATGTTTTTTTTTTTTTTTTTTTGCAGTTTTTCTCTGTTGGTGTGAGAGAGTTTATCAGAGGAAGAGGAGATACTGTCTGTTTTTTCTTGCTCATGCTGCCTGCAGTGGACTGAAACATGGAGGTGTGTGGAGGACGATCAGACAGAAGGCCATCTGAGAGCACGGTACACACTCCATCTGGACGCACATTCGCTGTGAAAAAGAGTGTGAAAGAAGAAGAAAGAGGCACACATACAGAAGGTGATATTATCATTTTGAATTTTAAAAAGCAACCTGTAAAATATCTTCCGCTCTCACTTCTCCATCTGACTTCATATTTTACATAATTTCCACTTGCATATATTACAGCGTTGTCCGTCTACCGATCTCCTTTTGTTTGTTGAAACATTTTCTACATTATACCACGGACAAATGTGACGTTGCTAAATTTAATAAATGCAAAAAAAAAAAAAAAGAGAGCATACAAGAAAAAAAAAAACACAATGTAGACTGAGCACAATTAAATCCCACCCACACTGGTGAGAAAATTAATTCTGTTCTCTTCGGCAACTTTGCATTTTGTGAAGAGTCCTCCTCGCAACTTTTGTCTGCGAGCAAACAACAGAAAAATGTCTAAAAGCCGCCGTTTGGTGGGATGCACTACCAGCAGTTAGAAGAATACCGAAATAAGTTTTTTCTGCAACAGCTGAAAAGAAAAGAGGACAAAATCTAACGAGGAGAAAAGTGAAAACAGACGTGAGGCGTTAACTGTGGGACCCTGAAAAATGAGGCGGACTGTAGAGGTTGAAGCTAACGTATGGAATTCCTTGTTTGATGTTAGACGTGCTGCTCCGACCTGCTGATTTCATAAATAGTGCTTAATATGAATCACTGGCCATGGGATCATTACTATGAGAAAGCAAAAATAAGTAAAAGACTTTGGGAAAAAAGCAAAAAAAAAAAAAATACAACATTGAAGAGTTCAAAACTAATGTTTCACCGCGTTTCCATGCATTCATTATCTTTGACGTGCCAGAGTCCTGCTCTTTATAAGCTAGCTACAGACATGTAGCTCGTGTTTCAGCCTCTGATTTCCTTTTGAGGTTGTAGTGGTTTAAATTCATGAAGTACCATCTCGACCCTAGTGAGCGAAATGCCAAAAGAAAATCCTTCTTCAATAAAGATTATAACTTTATACCCTGTTAAGTTTGAGAGACCCTATCAGGGGGGGGTTTGCTGCCCTGCTCAAGGGCACATCGGCAGTGCTCAGGAAGGGCTCTTCAAGTCCCTACAGACTGAGCTACTGCCGCCCCCAAAACACTGATGGCCCGTACGGTGCACCATTAAGGGGCTGCATCACTGCAGAAGTTGCATTTGAAGACTGATAACATCACAGTGGTGTCAAAGTGCATCCTCCTTTTTTAGGCCAACAAAAAATCCATCCAGTGCATACTTCATGGAACCAACATATCCCATTATTCATTACACTGAAATTCAAACTAGCTAGCATACTCTGAAGCCGCCGAGTAAAGATCTGATGTAGAAAACCCAAAGGGGCCTTGTTACTTCAAAATATCCTTGATTAAAGTTACAAATACAGTTACAGGTTCGACAGATGTTTGAGGTTGTAAGGCGACAGGAGCAGCTCCATGAAACGAAACTGTGATGGTGGGGACGGCTGGTGACACTAAATGAGAATCCTCTGACTCATTTCATAATGACCTGAGTGGTCCACACAGGCTATGAAGGCTGTGTCCTTTAAAGGATGATAGCGCTGAACCGGGACAACCAGGCTTTAATTTGAAACCTCTAAACGTGCACACTAATGAAGCAAGACATTCAGGCAACGGCAAATGTATGTAAATAAACATTAGCGCTTAAACTTCATCTAGGCCCCTAAGATAGTCCAACATGGGCCTCCTGGCCGTCCCTCGCTCTGGTTCAAGCTCAAAGGTGATCAGGCCTTTGCAGTCAGAGCCCCTAAACTGTGGGACAGTCCCAAACGCTCAGACAGAAATTGGGGCTTTTGGGTGTTCTGCACCCTCAGCCTGGAATCTGTTGCAGAGTGACTTGAAACTCAAGGAGCTTTCAACCAAAATCAAAAGTGTATCCTGAGAAAATTAACAACCCTGCCTTTAAATAAAATAAATAAAATAAGAATGCAGCATTTTCATGCTACTCATCTCAAAAATGTCTAAGCATGCAGGACTTGATTAGAAAATAACCATTTGACAGCTTAACCTTTGGTATTCTGATTTGATTCTTGTAGAAGAAAATGAAAAGAATCAGTCAATTCATTGCAAAAACTCGCTTCTTACCAAGTATGTTTGAGATATTATTTGGACTAGAAATTATACTTAAACGCTTATTTAAAGCCACATTCAAGTCCAGAAGTCCACATGAACACCTCATTTCTGGAGATAGCAATCACAAAATAATGCCTGAATTGATTGTAACGAGCCAAGCTGAATGCCAGTTGAAAAGTCTCGATATCAGACGTTACATCTCATTTAATGAAACCCATTTTTTGAAACCCAAAAATGAAGCCATTTTTTCATGGTATATTTGTCACTAGAAATTACTCAAATAAATGTGCTAATATTTGAGTTTTTCTGGTCTGGTACCACCTTCCCTTTCTTTGTTTACTCTTGCAATTCCATTTCCAGAGGACGCATCGTCGCCATGTTTTGAGGCCCCTCTGTGCACTCTGGTCTTTGTGGGCTCCTCTTTAGGATTAGCCTCGCTGCTACTAATAAACCTGCTTACTAGAAAACTTGTGCTCATGTTGAAAAACTTCTGGGGAATAAATCTTGCAGAAATTGTTTTCTTTCATTGCAGATCGAGCATGAATTTTGTCTCTGTTAGCTGTACCCACACTAAAATCGTATAACCCTAAATCCTGCACCCTCACACACATGTACACACACATTATTGCAGAGGTGTTGAGAGGGTTGACCTGTGGCCTCCTAATCAGAGCTCAGTGTGCTTCACTTGGTTATATAAGGGGGCAGCGAGTGCTAGTCAGATCCTCCTACAGATGCCTGAGCAGTCACGACTAACGCGGATGTTCTCCATCCATCCACTCAGCCCGCCAAACGCAGACTTCACCTTAACCTCTGCTCCTCAGTCCTGTGTCCCCCCCCCGCCACACACACACTCACACACACACTCACACACACACACACACACACACACACACACACACACACACACACACACACACACACACTCACTCACACACTCACACACACACACACACACACACACGTGTAGTTAGGCAAAAACAAAAAATCAACACTCACACTGACAGGGTGCATATGCGTCCCACAAGTATGTAAAACAAACCTGACCAATAAAATAAAGAATTTATGAAATGGAGTTTGGATGGAGGGGAAGAAGTTCAGAGAGGAGGCAGAGCTAAAATCAGATCCTCCCAAACGAGCGAGGACAAACACCTACAGAGCTAAACGTTTCTGCTTTGTGGTGAGACCATCGACTCCTGCTCATTCTACAAATCCCAGAGGTCCCACTCTCTTTAAGATGTATTTTTCCGGTCTCAAGGAAAAAAAGGGTTATTCCACCACAGACCTGCAGCAGCCTCTGGGACCGGAGTACCTGCAGGCTCTTAGAAAACCAGTAGCCGAGAATAGCAGAGCAGCTCCTGCCCACCATGTGATGTTCTCATGCAGCGCTGTCTGCAGGGAGAGAGATGAACCCTGATGAATAAATATGAAGATAACCTGCACCTCTGCTGCACTCTCTCTTTTCCCGTTCCCCATATGGTTCCACTGAAGAGAAGGAGAGGAGGAGAAAAAGCTCTGATTTTCAAAAGAAGCCTCCGGGCCATTGTGTTGGTCTGTGTGCATGTGTGTGTGTGTGTGTGTGTGTGTGTGTGTGTGTGTGTGTGTGTGTGTTTTTATTGCTTATGTGTGTATCTTATCATCTCTCTTTGTGTGCAACCATCTGAATGTGTGCATAAGCATCGGTGTGTAGTTGTGTGTGTTATGTGTGTGGGCGGCTCTGTGTAGGAGTGTGCTGTAGCTTTTTGACAGAGCCTCCAGTAGCATGTATTTGTGAATCTTTTGTTTTATTCCCCGTCTCCTCTTCAGCTCGGCAGTGATCGCACCTCGCTGTGCCGCTTGAGTGCCGCAGCCCTCAACTGAAGACGAACAAAAAGGTTCCTTAAAAGACTCCACCGGCCATCCTGCATCATCCCGCAGAGATGACAGTAATGACGAGCACTTTCTATACATGCATCTCTTGTAAAAAAAAAAAAAAAAAAAAATCCTCACCGTAAACAGGCCACAACCATGCGCCTTTTTTTCCCCTCCATAGATAAGTGCAACAAATGAGAAACGTTTGGAAACCGTCGACCACAAACACTGAAGCTGAACCTGTTGCGTACGTGAAACATGTAAATTCTTCGACACAGCAGAGGCTGGTGCACTTCCTGGGCACGGCTGAGTAGGAAAGAGGTGTGGGTGGGGGATCCATCCTGTCAGGGCCGTGCTGCTGAGCCTTTGTTTTGACTCTCAGTTCTTTGCAGATGCAGGGAAGGAAGCAGAATCAAGTGCTGCAGACTAAATAATGATAATATGATGAACTTCATGGTCGCTCTGGGAAAAACTTGTCTTCGACTCCAACAAACTCAAAATAACAGAACAGAACCTGTAGTGACCCCTGAAATAACCCTTTGATTTTCGTCTACTCTCCAACACTGCACTTTGTGCATTTATCCTTTTATGTATTTATTTTTCCAGTTTTATTTCTACTTCTATTGGCCCTATATAAGCCCTGTGTTCCTCTAGCCTTATGGTCATTTTGTATTTGTATGGATTTTTACTTTTTGGCCCTTTTGGGACTCACAACTAAAACTGTCAATCAAACTAATACGCTTTTTCACAAAATAGAAAACAGACCTCGT